TCTTTTTTTTTTTTTTTTTAATTATTTATTGTGATTTGGGTGAAGATTTACAGAGCAAATTCACTTTCTATACAGCAGTTCACATATACTTTGTCTCATGTCATTGACCACAATTTACCACAATGCAACAGCTCCCCTCCCACTTCCTCCCCATAGTTGCCACTTCCCAGTGTCCATCCCTCCATACTCTCCTGCCCCCCGTGCATATGCAGCCCTTCCTTTTCCCATGATTGTTGAACCACATTTCTTAAGATTTGATTTCTTAAACTGGGTGTTGTAAACTCAGATTTTCATTTTCCTTTTTATAAGCTGGAAACATTTTATTAAAAATGAAATCCTGTATGTTTGAGGACTTTCCATCTCATAAATCAGTATAGCACTGCCTGAGATTCCCCACTGTCTCCTAGCTTTTTTTTTCCTTAATGGAGTCCCTTGCCTCATTTGCACAGTAAGTGGGGCCTCTGCCTACACCTTTGCAGGTTCTATATTGACAATAGTGCTTGGACAAAGGGGTCAGTGGGCCAAATCTCAGACTGTTGACTAGTCAACAAACTCAGTACCCAAGGCAAACATCACCAGATGAAGTGCCATCTTCTTTGTCTAAAAGCACCATGCAGACCATGGAGGTGCCACAGCCAGGCTCCACTTCTTCTTACCAACATACCAACAATTATAAGGATGGCACTAGATGGGGCAACATTTCATTCTGTTGTGTATAAGGTCACCATGAATTGGCACCTAACAACAGCTGAGGGACATGACAAATTTACTCATGCGTTCACCGTGGAAAATTATAGAGGAAACATACTAGAAACAGTGACTCTACTAAATTCATTTCTACCTGCCACCAAAATTTTATTTGGTTCAATCTGGTATCATTCTTAGCTTGTTTATGTAAGAAATAATCATTTTTCTTAGTTATCTATGATGTTGTTGTTGTTGTAACATGCCGTCGAGTTGGACCCAACTCATAGCGACCTCTCCTTGGGTTTCTGAGGCAGCATCACTACGGAAGTAGATTGCCCCATCTTCCTCCCAAGGAGTGGCTGGTGGGTACATTACAAGTTAGCAATGTTTTGCTCTCTTGGGGCATCTTATCTAAGAAGTGAAGACTAATTGGCTAATTTATCTTTAATGCAAACGAGAAAGCACATATAATGAAGCAACTATGAGAAATACTAACATTAACAAATCTTAACCTCTTTTCTTCTCTACCCTTATTTGTTCCTAATCCTTTGTCTTCCTGACCAAGTTGTTCATCCGAGTCTTTCTTTCTCACCCCTTCATCTGATAGATAATAGAAGTTTATTCTACACTGGAACTATAGAATCTGTCATCTAAGTTGCCCACCATAAAATTTTATTCCTTGAAAGCAAAGAATAAAGTTCTTTAAGTGTGGTTCATAGGAGCTCTGGTAGCTTAGTGCCTAAGGCACTTGACTGCTAACCAGATGGCTGGCATTTCAAACCGACCAGCCTGTCCTTGGAAGGAAGATGGGGCAATCTACTTTCATAGTGATACTGCCTCAGAAACCCAAGGAGGGGTCACTGTGAGTTGGGTCCAACTTGATGGCACATAACAACAACAAACAACAAGTGTGGTTCATAGGGTCACTTATATCACTTTTGTGTGAGGTTCATTAAAAAGCTGTTTCCTGGGCCCCATCCAGGCCTTCTACATCAAAATATTTGGCAATGGGTTTCCGGAATCTGCATTTTTAATCAAGTATCCCATGTGATTCTTATACCCACTAAAGTTTGAAGACCACTACTTTTTCTTTTAATTTTTATTGTAATTTGGGTGAAAGTTTACAGAGCAAATTCATCTTCCACACAGCAGTTCACATACAATGACATTGACTGCAATCTCCCACGATGCAACAGCTCTCCTCCCACTTCTTCCCCATAGCCACCTCTTCCCTGTGTCCTCCCTCCCATGCACGCCTGCCCCCCAAGCCGTCTCCTTGTGCATACACAGCCCTCCTGCTCTCCCACAGTTGATCTCTCCAAGGAGTGTGTCTACCTAACACAAATGATCAGCTCATATGCCTTTCGTTTGTTTGGCTGGAGACCACAGGAGTGGGTTCAATCTCAGACCTGAAGGAAAGCTAGGGGCCATAGTCTCAGGGGTTCCACCAGGCTCTATCAGACCAGCAAACCTGGTCCTTTTCTTTCTTTTTTTTTTTTTAAATGATTTTGAGTTTTGTTCCACATTGTTCTCCCACTCTCTCCAGGATCTCCTACAGAGATTCTCCTTCAAATGGTTGACCGTGTTAGCCAGGCACCATCAGGCACCATCTCAGTCTCATAGTCATATAGGCTGAGGATCGCATGGTATACCAATCCCTTGGACTAATTGTTTCCATTAATTTTTGTTTTTCTTCATTCTTCTTTGCTCTGAATGAGGAGAGACCTATTGTTGCACCTAGTGGCTGCTTGCAAGCTTTTAAGATCCCAGTTGCTACTTGCCAAAGTAGGATGTTTTTGTGTAGTGTGCTATGCCAATTGAACTTGATGTCCCCTGCAACCATGTGAAGACCACTATTTTAAAAGAAAGAAAGTGAGTTGAAGAAATAAAATTAATCACTTTAGTCTATATTAAGGAGCCCTCATGACACAGTGGTTAAGAGCTCAGCTGCTAACTGAAAGGTTGATGGTTCTAATCCATCAGCCACTCTGTGGGAGAAAGATGTGGCACTCTGCTTCTATGAGCCTTGGAAACCCTAAGCCATATCTTAGCAAGATAAGTTTTGTCTTTTACTGTTGTGAAAAAAGAGAGGTCTTAAAGGAATCAATTTGAGAAATTAACTTTACAATTTTCTCATTTCACTCATGAAATTTGCTAGAACATAATAGAGATGATTTTGACAATGAAAGCCAATTTGGGGTGGCTCCAGGAGCAGACAAGGAGCCAGGGGCCCAGGAATTGTTCTGTGATGATCACCACAGCATCTGAGAGCTTGAGATTCCATATCTGTAAAGCCAGAGGGCTGTCCATCTTTCTTTAAGTTCTCTTCTAGCCTGACAGTTTGAGCAAATGTTGTTCCTAAAACTTGAAATCAAGTCATATCTGTATTTATTGACTCTCTACCATGTATACAGGGGAGCTCTGGTGGCATAGTGCCTAAGGCATTTGACTGATAACCAGAAGGCTGGCGGTTCAAACCCACCAGCCACTCCTTGGAAGAAAGGTTGGGCAATCTACTTCTGTAGTGATACCACGTTGGAAACCCAAGGAGGGGTTGCTATGAGTTGGATCCGACTCCACGGCAGTGCATTGCATTTTGTGTTAGCATGTACATGTAAAGGAGTTAGCATGTAAAGGAGTTAGCATGTAAAGGAGCTCTGGTTGTGTAGTCCTTAAGGCGTTAGGTTGCTAACCAAAAGGGCATTGATTTGAACCCATTAGCTGCTCCTTGGAAGAAAGATGAGACAGTCTGTTTCCAAGAAGATTTATAGCCCTGGAAACCCAACAAGGGTCACTATGAATCAGAATCAATTCCATACAAGTGAGTTTGAAGGTTTTTTGAGCCTCTATGTAGATTCCCTGGGTGGCGGCAGTGGTTAAGCACTGGGCTACTAACTGAAAAGCTGCTAGTTCAAACCCACTCAGAGACACCTCAGAAGAAAGGAATGGTGATTTGCTTCCAAAAAGTCACAGCCCTGTAGAGGGCAGTTCAGCTCGGAAGCACATAGTGTCCCGATGAATAGGAATCTGCAAGATGACAACTAGTTAGCATGTAGATTGACTGTATGTTACTTATGTGCCCAATCTCTATTAGTTTTAAGATAAACTCCTGAATACAAAAATGATGATTTTTTTCATTGTAAACTTCTAAGGCTGCACCAACTTGTTTCCATTTCAATTTATAAGAGCTAACTCGTCAATTTTATATGACAGTGACATTTTTAACTCTTCCTGCCTTTAAAATTATCCAATATAGAGTAAAACAACCCAAAGTCATAGGGGAAGGGAGGTAAAGGAGGTGCCCATGAAGCGGTATTTGGAACAGATAAGATTCTGCAAGCCCTATCAGGCCATAGGGACTCAAAGTCCAGAAAAGGAGGCACTTCTGGTAAGTAATTACCTAACACCAAAATTGGTCCTGGTTTCTCAGCCATAGTCACTTAGCATTCAAAACGCTTTGTGTCTACAGAAATTGTCCAGTGTTCAGCAATATCACCTCATTTGATTCTTACAACATCCCTGTATTTCAGAATTTTAAAGTGTGTGAAAGGAAGCAGTCAAATTTCACCAACTCTCTCTGCATCGTTGATGGTTCACTGCTAACGCTAAATGCAGGTCAAGATGGGTATAAAGATTCCAGGTGAAGTGAGAGGCTGAAGGGAGGTTCTTTGTTTCAATTTCTGGTACAGCTGAAACCCAAATACTAACCAGATGAAGGGAAACTTTTCCTCTTCTCTCCAAAATCTTTTTTCCGTTCCCACAGCTCCCAACGTCCTTGCCCTTTGGAACAGTGGAGAGTCATTTGAAACTTAACTGAATGGTGGAGGCAAGTTACACTTTTCAGGTCATCCAATTTAGGAGATCCGATTTCTGCAGAGGAAAAAAAAATCGATGCGTGGAGGAGGGAAAAAAAGCACAAAACCAAAAAACAGACTCCTTGTCTTCCAATCTTTCCACCTTCAATCCACAACCTGCCACACAAATCCAGCCAAGTCAGGGATTTTGCCTTAAATCACCACCACCACCACCACCACCACCACCACCACCAGCACCTTGTCACTCACGCCCGAGAAACACGCCCCTCTGGTCCTACTCTCGGCCAATGGCGGCCTCCCTCTATGCATAGTAATGAGCTCAAGACCTCCCCGAGCCAATGGCGCTCGGGGAGAAGTGTTAGTTTTGCATGTACCTAAACGATTTGCATAGCCCAGTGGCCCGGGGCTTGGGAACCCGAGCGTGCAACCCTAGAAGGGAAAAGGACGGGAAGAGCTTGAGCGGCGGCGCGGAGAGCGAGCAAGAGCCTGGGTGTTTGTGCGAGAGCCGGGCGGGGGCTGGAGCTAGGGGCCGGCATGGCTGAAAGCTGCGCTCGGCAACCTTGAAAAGCGGCTGCGGCCCGAGGCCGAAGACAGGGAGGAGGGTACGATGGCAGAACGCGGCCGGCGCGGCTGCGCCTGGCCGAGCCGGCTGGCTTGAGCCGCCGGAGGAGCGGGGTTGCCTCTGCGCTTCCATGGGGCAGCGGCAACGGCGAAACTACGGAGCGCTGTGTCCCCGCGCTGCTGCCGCCGCGGACTGTTAAAGGGGCCAAGCCCCAGCGGAGCGCCGAGGGAGTAGAGCCCCGGCCCCAGCCCGCAAACCGGCGGCCCGGGGCAGCGGGGGGCGTCCGAGGGCGGAGGAGGCACGCGGAGCGAGCGCCGCGGCGGGGGGAGGCCGGCGCGGGGGGGGGGCGCCGCAATGCCGGGCCCTCTGGGGCTGCTCTGCTTCCTCGCCCTGGGGCTGCGCGGCTCGGCCGGGCCCAGCGGCGCGGCGCCGCCTCTCTGCACTGCGCCTTGCATCTGCGACGGTGACCGTCGGGTGGACTGCTCCGGGAAGGGGCTGACGGGCGTGCCGGAGGGGCTCAGTGCCTTCACCCAAGCTCTGTAAGTGGGGGTGGCGGGGGTGCGGGGGGAGGGGCAGGGGGCGCCGCGTGGGCGGAGCCAGTGGTCAGTGTCCCACGGGGGGGCACTGGTCACCTGTGTGTGTGTCGAGGGGTTGCTGTGCCCCAGCCTGGTCGTGTTGCAGACTTTCCAAATTTTGCCAGGCCGGGTCCGAGCCGCTAGTAGCTTCTTTTACCCGACTTTTCGGACGCATTCAATACCAGCACCACCCCGCCCCCTTAAGTGTATTTAGGCCAACCCAGGAGGAGAGAGGAATTCGTAAACGCTTGGCCCTGGCAGCTTTTTCACGCGACCTTCCCTTCTCACGCGGGCCTCAGCTCAGCTGGCAAGAGCTTCGCGACTGGCGGGGGTGAGGGCGCGGAGGATTTGGCCTGAGCCTGCAGACAGAGGCACGTTCCTTGGGGAAGCACCTGGAGCCTCCTGCGTTCCAGCACGTGGGGAGAGGAAACACCTGTACCCTAGTCAGGGCGACCCTCCTTATAACTTGGCTCGGTCCAGGTAGCGCGAACTGGCACCTCGGCCCAGTTCCACTGTGGACTCCCCCACAAACGCCCGGGGTTCTGGAGCACGCTTAGGAGGCTGACGGAAACATGGGAGAAGAAGGGGAAAGTGCAGGTTTCTTATGGTGAAAATACTTTTCTTACCCAACAAGACCTTTTAAAGAAGGACTGCTAACCCGAGGTAAAGGATGTTGGAAGACAAACAAAGTTCCAAAGCGTATGCTCAGTTTAACCCGCGAGGTAGGCAGCAGCTCTCTGCTGCACCTTAACCAGCACAAGTTTTCGTTTGAGCTGCCTGGGGTCGGGAGAAACTCTCAGATGGCCCTGACTTACAAGAATCTCCCTCAAACAGGGACCCCGAGGATTGGAGACCTTTCTTTCAGAAAAGAAAAAGAATCTCAAATAGGTGTTGGCAAATGCCACCAGTAGAGAAAGACTCGGGTAATCGAGTGCAGGGTGTGTGCCCTTGTTCGTCCATGTTATGTTGTGTCGCCTGTTGGGTGATTAAATCAAGAGCAGTGAAAGAACTGTTTGAGGGAGGAAGGGATTCCAAGAGGCCCTTGGTTAAAGGGAATTTCCTTTTACCTTAAAGCTACTGAAAGAGATCTCTTAGAGAGTTTCCAAAACTCTGTGATGAAATCTTTTATGCAGGCCAGAACACTGCTGTGTTTCCAGGTTGTTGGTGGTGAGGTGTTCTGCTTACCCTCTGCAGATGGACTTTTAGTGACGCCTGTTGCCCTGGAACTTCATTCTTCAGCCTCCAGTTCCCCACCCCTCTTGTTTTTCAGATGTCTCAGGTGTTGGTTTCTGTTTGAAGTTTGTTTCCTTCAGTATGGTAACTTTAACTCTTACCCAACAAGCTCACTTTTGCCACGTAGAGAAGTTTTCCCACAAAGGTACTTTAAGTGGGAAAGTTTGAGTGGGAGTGAAGTGAGGAGAGGATGCCCTGAATAAAGGAGGTGGGGCTAGTTTCCCCCAAGTCCTCTAGAAACGTTTAAGGAATTCGTGCAGAAAGAGAGGGATACCTTTATTCTGAGCCTCTTTCAAGTATCTAGAGTTGAAAAGTATGATTTAATTATTTTGATCAGTTTTAAAGTTCTTTGTTTAGCAGATTCCTTGACTGTTAATGAGTAGACTTGCCCTGTAAGGAAAAAGGACATTTTATGGTGGTGTGTTAGTACCCTACCACGTTTTCATGAGAACATGCTCCTGTCTTTAGAGCTTCAGGCATCTTCCCTTAGGGCTCACCAAAGGCAGTGAAATGCTCAGTCCTCAAGTTTGTGCCTTAGAAAGTTATTGTTCATGGCTTGAGAAACAGACAATAATTGGCACCAGTCCAGATTAGATTGCCTGACCCAGCATCATCACAGCATTTTCTGAGCTGCAGTGGTGAGTAACCATGTCATGCTTTCTAGATATATGGCCTGTAGGGATGGTGGTGGTTGTGAGGTGTTGTCGAGTGGCCTGTCGGTGGATTGGCCATATATCCTGCTAATGCCACATCTCACCCCCAAAAGTATTCCAGTTTGGACTACAATTTATATGGACATCCTATTTATAGGAGATTCCAAGGACAGTATATTTGCATTTCCAAGACAAAAGAAAGGTAACAAAAATATACTGCCCTTGAAATCCTCTTTTTCAGTCCTAGAAGAAATATAGCCGCATTATTCCTTAGAAGCAAGAATGGCCAGATGTGGTCATGTTATCAGAAGAGACCAGTCCCTGGAGAAGGATATCATGCTTGGTAAAGTTGTGGGTCAGCAAATAATGGAAGACCCTTAACAAGGTGGACTGATGTAGTGGCCGCAAGGAGATGGGCTCAATCATAGCAGTGGTTGTGAGGGTGGCGCAGGACTGGACAGTGTTCCATTCTGCAGCGCATGAGGTCCCTGTGAGTTGGAACTGACTCAGTGGCACCCAACAACAACAAAATATTTATGTTTTATGCATGACGAAACCAACTAGTCCAGTGATTCTCAAAAGGCACGTGAGAGGGGCAGGTGCTGCGAGTCCACACACTTTAGTGGAATTTAACAGGTCCTCTTAGAGTCACTTGGAGGCTCTTTCTCATCCGCCCCCTTCCCGCTAACTTCAGTGAGCCACAGTTACTCACCTAAGGACAAGATCCATGGTCCCCAAACTCATGTTCACCTATTCCTGTACGTTCATTTCTTTGAGCATGGGCACCAAAGCCGATTTGTTAATACATAAAAAATTACATAAGTGTATGTGTGTGTATATGTGTTTGTGTGTATATATATATATATATATCTGTCTGGTTTTATAAGTGAACCCTAGGTGGATGCATCACACTTTGGAGACCCTGAGACTTGCTGATGGTTAGGGAGTAGAGATGTCATTTTACTTACTTTGAGTCCACAGAGCCTGATATATAAAGAGTGCTTAAAGATATTGGAGCGGGAAGTAAAGACGTCAAGGGACAGCATTGGGGTTTGGAGTTCAGACATGAGATTCCCATATAGGATTGTTAAGCTCAGCGTGCTCAGCATTTAGCCTTTTATCCAGTGATTTGAGAAGGCCCCAGAGAGAGGATATTTGCTTCTCCTTTAGGCTCGTTTAAACTTGTTCAGTCTGATGGTGTTGATTTCCTGCTGAAAGCTGCCTCATCAGAGGCTGGGGCTAGAGGCAGAGATAATCCTCAGTATTGTTTACGGTATTCTTGTTTTCACACTGTTTGCTGCACCTGTAGTGATTATTTCTATGGACAGTCCTCAGATTATGAGTGAGATCCATACCTAAGTGTGTCTTTAAGTCAAATTTGTAGGTAGGTCAGAACAGGTGCATACAGTCCTTATTTAACGTTTAGTGCAAAATCAACAACAAAAAAAGCTTGAAGTCTTTTGAATGCCTTTAAAGCTGCATGTGCAGCAAGTGAAGGTGATTGTGATGAAGACTTTGTTGCGGGTAGGGGTTGGTTCATTTGATTCAAAACAAGGACAAATAAATGCACATAACATTAAAGGCAAGTACGAGTTGTCCTAAGTGGAACATTCCTAACCTGGGGACTGCCTGTGTTTTAGAATAGCAGTTGTCAATCTTGTGTCACAGTGCACTGCCTTGTCACAATTTACCCTGAAGTGTGTTAAAGGAAGTAAAGTTACTGACTAATATTAAAATACTGAAGTTTACTTTTTCAAAAGGATTCAAAATGACTCCTGTATTAAGGTTGCCTTAGAGTAAGGTCACTCGTCCTCATCTACATACCTTTTTTCTTGATTGGGAGAAAAAGAGATGAAATTACAGTGGTGGCTGGGAGGGTTTTTGTTACTGTTACACTTTTGAGAACTGTGACCCAGAGCACAAATTTTCACTATCATCGATGATATCTAGTGCATAGTTTAAGATTATAAAGGCTGTTTCTGAGGCTTTAGGAAGATAATGGTGGGTTGGTCATCTTAGTCCTTACCACAGTACTGAATAATTGTCTGACCTCAGGCAAGTCATTACACTTTTTTGGTTGACAGTTTCCTCATCTGAAAAATGAAGCAATTGGATTTACTAGATTATTTCTAAGGCTGCTTGTATAATGTTATGATTTTACAGTTTTAGGATGGCAAGGTGACAGTAATGTGATGAATTCTCTTACAAAAAGATTCCAGGAACAGCAGAATATCTGTCTAGTTGAAGTGGCACCAGTGTGTTCATTACTGCTCACTTGGAGGAGTTCTTTGTATGTAGAAGTGTGTGTTAGGGAATTTGCCATGGAGACTTGTAGAATGCATGACGAGTTTAGGCACTTTGCTGGGGTAGAATAACCTTTCTTGTTTCCTGTGGATATGGTTTAGCACTTGGAAAATAAAATCACTCTGTTTTAGTAATTTGGATACTGTACAAAGAGTTAGTTACTCAGTATCCTCAGTTCCATATAATTAGTCATAATCTCTCAAACCTTCATGGCCTGAGTGTCCTGTACATGAGCAGGTTATTGAGCTTTTTATATAGGATTGATGGATACTGGTGGGGCTTTTGAAGTGTTTAAGAACCTGTTGCTTTTTCTTCTCTTTTTGGGATCATCTCAGAGTCTTCCCTAAGGTGTGGTTTTTCTCTCCATCCAACAACTTTCTTCTTTTGATAGTGTCATTTGAAAATATTTTCTTATATTTCCTGATAATGACTGTATTCCCTAGCAGGTCATTAATAAGTGACTAAATTTTTGTATGTTTATCGATAGTCTAAGTTTTGATATCTCGTTTCTTAATTATTACCTGTAAATTTCAGTGTTATCCTAGTTTGTATAATGGGTCTTTCTAAAGATGCATTTGTGTATTATATACAAGTGAACTTTATTCTAAATAAGGACAATATTTTGAAATCCTGAAGTGTAGATCCTTTATTTTACAAACTGCTAGGTTCCCTTTAAATACATCATTGTGCTGGGAATATGTTCCAGATCTGTTGATAAGTCACAAGAGCAGCCTTGAGTGGGTCATGTACATTAGTGTCCTCTTCTGACAAAGA